TATATATGAATATGATACAGGAATACCATTGGTCTACACTTTTGATACTGTAACTGGTTGATGGTTTTCTTACAGAACAGTCGAGGAATGGGTATAACATTTCAGTTAAACTGATTCAGTCTTCTTATCTGATTAGCTTCACATGGTATAATCAAACATTAATCTGTGATCATGTCGGATGTTTTCAGTTTAAACAGGATTTCTTTGGTTGGGTAATTTTCTGCCGTGTTTAGTTTCTCTTTCACTATGTCACATGATTTGCAGGAATCAGATTACAGATTAACATGCCTAGATAATTTTATAAAGCTGTCATTAATTTAAGATATTAAAACTTCTTGAGTAACATGCACCAGATTTGCTTGTAATCATTAACAAATTAACATGGGCTTTTTATGGGGGTTTATATCTGACTTTCTAACTCAGGGACACCAAAACAACTTGGTGTGTAACAACTTTGACTGTGTTGTTGTGCCTAATAAATGCAACTGGACTGAGTGACATCCAGAGGTGGACAGTAACAAAGTACATTTAGTTGAGTACTGTACTTAAGTACACCTTTTGAGTATCTGTACTTTACTATAGTATATTTTTTTCTAGAAACTTATGACTTTAACTTAACTACATTTCTACCAAGGTCTTCGAAGTAAAAAGTTGTTACTATGTAGCAGCTTTGAAGGTCAGTGGGTGACCTTTTTTTTAATTTTCCTAAACCTGACTTTTTTTTACACAGTCTATCAGTAATCACTCTTGTAGGGTTTCGTGAAGTGATTTTCCCAGCATTTTTTGAACACTGACCAGCTGCTAATGTGATATTTATTTACAACAATTCAATAATAAGAAGTTAATATTGTGGTATATATTAGCCACAATATTGTCTGATTTTGCAAAATTGTGTACATGAAAATATTACCTATAAAGCCACAGAAGAATTGTTGTGTGCCTTCTAACAAAACACATTAGAATCAGAATCAGAAGAGCTTTATTACCAAGCATGTTTACACACACAAGGAATTTTACTTGACGACAGGAGCTTCCAGTGTAGAAGAAAGTATAAACATAGTGCAGACATACATGATAGGGCAGACATACATAGTAATAACACAGTAGGGATTTAATATAAGACTAATATAAAAAATATATACGGAGGAAGCGCCGAAAGAGTTATTACCTGTGCTTTAAATGGAGTAGAGAGCACTTTAGGTACATAACCATGCCTTGGTTTCAAGACGACCTTAGAGTCGTTGGGCCCAAACTCGAGGCATGTGGGGCTTACTGATAGCACCTGCAGATCTCCCATATGCTTTACATTTACATTTACATTTAGTCATTTAGCAGACGCTTTTATCCAAAGCGACTTACAAGTGGGGGATACATAAAGCGATTCTTCTTAAAGAGGCAAACAGACACAGGAAGTGGTTGTAATACCAAGTTCTTAGAATCGAAACTACAGTTCGCACTTAAACGCAGGAAGGGAGCAATTAAATTACACGCGCTCCTTCTTAGCCGAGGGCAATTATTAGAATGACCAGAAAGTGCAATCCAAAATACAAACGCAAACAAAAATAGAACGTAGAAATAGGCAGAAAAACGAAATATTCCTTCCTAGCAGCAAGTAATAATTCCATTCTTAAAGAGGCAAACAGACACAGGAAGTGGTTGTAATACCAAGTTCTTAGACATTGTTCAAATAAGTACAAGCTAGAAAGAGAAGGAATAAATAAAGAGAGAAATAGGCAGAAAACGAAATATTCCTTCCTAGCAGCAAGTAACACTTCCAACAGCAGATCTATAAACAAGTATTATGCAGGACACTCACGTGCAGCCGTCTGTCTCTTCTGTTGACTAATCGCTTAACCCCTTTACCGATGCTAATACTAGAAGCAGAGCAGTCTTAAGCGTCAGGGGATGAAGGTCAATGGACTATAGTGGCTCAAAAGGAGGGCTCTTCAGAGCCCTCAACACCATGGGCAGATCCCATGTAGGGACAGTGATGGGGCAAGGCGGGTTGAGCCTTCTAGACCCCTTCAGAAAATGAACAACCAAGTTGTTCCTGCCCACCGATTGGCCAGCTACAGGAGCGTGAGAAGCTGCTATGGCTGGTACATAGACCTTGAGCGTGGAAGGGGAACGGCCCTTATCCAACAGCTCCTACAGGAAGGACAATATCAGAGATATGTCACATGAGATTGGGTCTGCGCCGCGGGCTGCACATCAGGCGGAGAATACAGTCCAGTTAAAGGCTTAGAGGCATCTTGTAGACGGTGCTCTAGCCTGAGAGATTGTGTTTAGCACGTTCTCGGGGAGGTTTGCAAGCTCCCGTCTAGAGGCCAAATGTGCAGAGCCCACAGCTCGGGCTGGGGGATGCCATATCATTCCATTCGCCTGAGAGAGGAGGTCCTGTCTCAGGGAAATGGACCACGGGGCTGCTGAGAGCAGCCGGCACAGCTCTGCAAACCAGTGCTGGTTCCTCCAGAGCGGTGCCACCAACAGCACCTTGCGTATCTGTTCCCTGACTCGCCTGATCACCTGTGATTGCGAGAGGATCTGTTTCAATGTAATCATCCTGAAAGGCCATCTGATGAGGGCGCGATTCAGACACCTGAGACCGAGAATGGGCCTTAGGACTCCATCCTTCTTGGGGACGAGGAAGTAACGGCTGTAGAATCCTGACTTGCTCTCGGCTGGGGGAACCGTTTCTACAGCTTTTTTTGCCAACAAAATCATCACCTCGGCACGCAGGATGTGTGCATCCTCGCTCTGAACCGAGGTGGAGACCATACCACTAAAACGCGGGGGTCTTCGAGCAAATTGGAGTCTATAACCTCGTTTTATTATCCCCATGACCCAGCTTGACACTCCGGGAATGGCCTGCATGGCAAGGGGCTGGATTGGCTTGAGCGGTGGGCCGCCTAGGGGGGACCTGACGCTAGCAATGAGTGGAAGAGGAATTTTGCTCTTTTTTTGAAAATGATTGCGTTTTATTTTTCCCGCTATAACAGAGGTTGGTTGTGTGGACACGATTAGAATGTGCCCCATGTTCATAACAGTATTTTTGGTCACAAACACACTGCCATCGGCACCCGGAACTGAACGGGGTGCTTGGAGG